CACAGGGGACGCACCTTGCTTCCCACAAACAAGCGCACCACGACAGTCACAGAAGAGCTCAACAGTATGTGGAGAAAAACCAAACAATGCCACGCAGCAGTTGCTGACCCACTGCTTCCTCCATCACTAAATACACATGGATCTTTTTGTGACTTCATTGTTTGAAATCCTTCATATTTACATTAGTGGCACAAACTGACCACAGGAGGCAGCGACGGACTAGCAATCGTCAGGTTCTGTGACAAAAAAAAAATCCCTTTTTTTTGGTGTGGAAGTTTGGAAATAAATGCTTTATTTTTCACTTTTCAATTTTTTAATTTTTAGATTCATTCAGATTCAGATTTATTCTGATTTTAAGGCACAGACTCCTTCAGTGGACAGCAGTAGACGTGGCTCCTGTGTCCCTATGAGCTCATATCAAAGGTTTACTCTGTGGGAATGGGTGTGTGGGGGGACGAGGGGTGAGTGAATGTAAAGTCAAAAAATGATTTGCTGTCAATTTCAGCCTCTACAACCCGAGGCCACCTTCAGTGAAAAATAACGTTGTTTTTCGGCCTCACAGCAGCTGCTGCTCTGAACATGTCTCCACAGAGCAAATCGTAAACCACTCACTTAGGGAGTGTCAATAAACTACTCCATCACATCCAAGAAGCACACATAAATATCTTGTTCTTTTCAGACCAGAGCACAACAGCAGCAGCAGCAGCAGCAGCAGCAGCAGCAGCAGCAGCAGCATCAACCCTACCCCCTCCCCTGTCATGTCTTAACTGCAATGTGAAATAAGGGAGTGTAAATGTTTTTCTGGCTTGTGGCTTCACTGGGATTCGTCACCAAACAGAGTACCAGGAACAAGAAACTCAGCTAAGAAAACAGACATCAACCTCCAATTAAAGAAATGATTAAATTAAACATAAAAGTAGGCATCGCAGCACAATGTGCTAAAGTCTGCAAATTGTCTTTAACACGTATATATGAAAAGACTAATTTTAAAGGTAATAATTTATTTGGTAATTAATTTTTTTTAATAAAAATATCAATTGTAGTTCTGCACCATATTCAGCTCATCTAGCAGAATTAAAAGCAAAAGTAAGAACTCATGATAGCAGAGCTGATTCTTAACATTTCTGCTGCCTTTAGTTTGAGGTATTTCCATTTTATCGCTTATTTCACTATTATTACCAAGATGTTTAAACCTCTGTCTTCATAATAAAGAAATTATATGAAAATAGAGTGTTCACCTCACCTTGAGATGCTGTGAAGGCAGCCAGTAATGCAGTAATTGATGTAATTGATTTTTTTCTGTTTGCTTCATTTAATCAAAATCAGTGTGTTGATGAAAATCATCAATCCAAATGTCACCAGTGTCAGGAGACAGAGGTGTGTGGTTCACAATTTTCACTCTATAAAATTAAAATATATTAATACTATTATAATATAATAATTATTATTATAATACTATATAATAATATATAATATTTGAAAAATAGCTCAAAAGCAGAGAAAATTAAAATGTGAAAATCATCAGCAACTTAGCCCAGAGTGTGAAAATGGAACATAGTTTAAACCATATAAAACCTTTCCCAGTGCCACAATAGGCAAGTCTCACTCAAACACTGTCTCTGTCGTCTCATTTCATTACTTTAATCATGAATTCAATTCTCTACCTGTGGAGAAGACGACGTTCTTGGAGACCAGCTTGTAGTCAACGATGGAGAACTGAGGAAGCTCGATACGAGTCACTCCTGTCACTGCTGACTCTCCACCTTTCCAGTAGAACTCTATGTCGTCTGTGGTGTAGCCATCTGGACACACACACATACACACACATACACAACGATGAGCTTCATTGCTGTGTTAGTTTTTTTTTTTTTTTGGCCAAATTTCAGCTACTACTAGATTAGCTTAGGTAACTGTTTTGCTAACATTTACTTGCAATTGGCTGGTTATTTTTATTTTTTTCTTGTTAAAACCGTTTACAATGAGGTATAAATTAAGGCTTATACATAACATCACATTTTTAAAAATACTTTTGCATTTATCTGTCTAGTTTTTGGACCAATTTCTCACCAGTTTTTTAGCAAGTAATGTTTTACCCTTTCCATTTTATTTCCTGGGCAAATGCTTGTTTTAAACTAACTAACAACCATTTGTGACAAATTTATACCTTGTTCATAGCAACAAAAAAAAAGTTTTATTTAATTTTCCTAAATTATAACGGTCATTGTTCATTAGCGTTGGTTTTCTCATTTTGGTTTTTCTAGGCTAACCTGGAAAGTTTTTGTTAAATGATTCCAATCGTTTTTGTTTTTTTTTATTATTTTAATTTTTAATTAATTCCACGACGCTTCGTCATCTATTTCGTCCATTGTAACTATTTTTAATAACTTTAAGACATTTTGTTGCAGGAATATCTACTTCTTTGTTTTTTTTGCTCAATTTTAAATTTAATTAAATCGGAACTAAAATAATTCCATAGTCCCAGCAGATTGTGTGGGCAGAACAGAATCATGTTGGTGGCTGCTGGAGTTCTCCTCTCAGCTCAGTCCCAGCAGAACCAGGCCTGTCTACTCACAGCTTTCTATCTCCAGAGTGCAGTTCTGCTCATCCAGAGGATACCTCCTGAGATCCATCATACACGCTGCCGTGGTCGTTATCCTGCAGAAAGTGACACAATCAGGGCAGAAAAAAAGGTTTAAGAATGAATGTTGTTGGGGAAAAAGATGGATGTGAAGGAGATGAGGAGGAATTCATTAGAATTAGAATAAAAAGCAGCAGCAGGAGCAGCAGGAGCAGTGGGGTGACAACACTTGTTATTTAATGGACGACTAAAATCAAACTGTTAAAAATATGAACCAATTTATTGAATTCAGTTGGTAACCAATGAATAAAAAACTGCAGTTTCAAAGGTTCATCTGTGAAAATATCAGCTAACATTTGAGCCTTTTTTGAGGATATTTAGCTTTGTTTGCAACATTTGGGCTGTGCTGACTAATGTGTATTTCTACTAAACATTTAAGTAATGTTTTAGCTTTTAAGAGTAACAAAGACACGTTTAGTCTGATTTCTGATTTTGGAGTGTAACTCGGCAACCTTTTCATTAACTTTTATCTATTCTGGCTAAGGTAGCTTAGCCGTTTTTTTTAGCCTTTTTTTGTAATGCATTTGTTAGGTATTTCCAAACAAACAACATTTCAGAAAAAAGACACACTATATCCTATCAAAGGTTGATTTGGATACGAGGATCCTTTGATGTGTCAGTGACATCACTGGGGGCAGGTTGGATGTTATCTGCTGCAGAACAATGCTCAAAGACCAACCAATCAATAAATGTAAAACACTAAAGAAAAACTAACGTGAAGCTCGAAACTGTGCACACCTAATGGAGATACCAAAGGTGTCGACTGACACCGTTTGTCCCCACATTAAATCCTTCACTAGTGGTTTGACTAATGAGCAATGGGACCTCTTAGAAGCAGGTAAACCTGACAATGATACCCAGCTGCGGCTGGCGGACATGCTGGTGAAGGTGGTCTGTTGCATTGTGGACAGTCTGTCCAACTTCCTCAAACAAGATGCACTTCTAGCCCAAGTACGTGCCAGTGTGGAAGACTCCATCGCCTGCAGCTTTGCTGATGCCTTGGGTGTGGAGACGGTCAAAGGTCCAAGCTCTGAGAAACTGGCAGAGTTGATTGCAACAGAGGTAACGTCCCACAAGGGCTCTGCGCAGCCAAAGTCCACCAACGCCATGGTCCGATATGTTTGTAAAATGCTAAAGGAGTTTGCTCACAAGATCAAGAGCATGTGCTCCACCAACAAACAATCTCAGCGCAGTGCCCAGACCAAGGAGTGTGACCCCGAGGACTCATTGATGGACTCGTCACTCACTCAGTCAGTCCAGGACATCATTGGTGACGAGGTGAATGTCATCATCACCCCTATTGTGGAGGAATTCACAGACATAGAGTACAACCAGCTGCAGAAAGAGTTTGCTGTAGACATTCAGGACGCTGCAGAGGACATTGGTCAGTCTGTGACTGACTACATCAGTTTGAAGGAGGTGGTATCAGTCCAATCAAGTCCTGAGTCTCAGAGGAAAACTCAGAAGGGTCTGAAGAGCTTGAAGACCAAAGTCAGTGTCTTTTTTGCCAAGATGTTTGCAAAGGCCTCCATTATGAGAGTCTTTTCACAGATTAAAGCCATGTTCCAGCCTGCAGCCAATGACGCCCAATCGGTCAAGACCCTGTTAGTTGATGCTGAGTCTGTGCTCCAGTCCAGTGGTAAAAACCAAACAGGCGAAGATGGACTCTACATGTTCCACAAGCTCCACCTGATTTCTCCTGACGACAATGTGGAACTGACCAAGAAACTGAGTGACCTCCTGTACAGTCATATCACAGGGGAGAACGTTACAGAAGCAGTCCTAGCAGCTGCGTCTGCACCTGGAGTGTCTGAGCCTCAACCGTACGCCAGCATGTACGCAGAGATACGGCACAGGGTGATCTGCTTCTTATCGCTGATGGGCTGGTGGTTGGACAACCAGATCCACGGCTACAGCGACAAGGTTGTGACGGCTATCATGGGCAGCGAGGCGGTGTCCACCACTCTGATGCCCATGTCCACCAGCGTGGACGCTGCTCCGGGCGAAGCAGGAACCAGCGGTGAGCCAGAAGTGGACGAGATAGCGGAGGCAGAGGAGAGCAAGTCTTGTCTTAGGCTTGCCTTAACCTCGATCATCAAGAGAATCTGGAAGGCCTTCAAAGGTGACAGGACATTTTTCACAGACTTGGAATCAACTATTTATTGTCTGGTCGAGGAAACGTGGAGTCAGCTTGAAGGCACCAACGTCGTCATCAAACCTGGCAACGTTCGAAACCTCTCTAAGGTGATCCACAAGCAGCTCCTAAAGAGGTACGGCTCAGTGATGAGAGTTCTGGTTTGCACGGAGCGAAGAGACCAGGACCTCCCTAAATATATTGCCACTGTTTGTAAGAGTCACTTAATCAGACAGAGAAGTGCAATCTCTAGGTTCTTTCAGCAGCGTGAGAAGAGGAGCTTTGGCCCCCCCAAAAGGTGTAAACGGTCTCAGCCAAGCTGAGTCAGGTTGATGTCCTGTATAGCTTTTTAGGTTTGTTCCACATGATATATCTCCGACTAAACATACACAGATTTCTTTTTTCTAAAATAGACATTTTTGGTTCGATCTAGAGGTAGCGGAGCACATAACAGTGTAAAAACATGGAGGTTTGCAGAAAGATTAAAAATCAGAAGAACGAGGTTTAAACACTTAGGAAAAGGAAAATGTTCACTCTGGTCATAATGAAGAGCTGGTGAAGAACCGACCTGTGACAAAATATTTTCAATAAATATTCTTAAAAATATATTTCTACAAAGTTTGAACTTTCATATTGTTGTTCTGAAGTCTTTTTTAAACTCTGGCCTCCCTGTCTCTGTTGTACACACTACTGTACTTCCAACAGGACGGGACTTTTCAATCAGTTTCTAATAAATGTCAAGTGTTATTTTCTACAGAAACAATAAAAATACCTCATTAAGAGAATTCAAAAGACCAATGAAGATATTTTTAGGGTTCCTGTGATCCAATGCAAATAACATTATATAAAGGTGTTTTCTACTGCTTCAGGAAATGGTATTTATAGAGCAGTGAAGAGAAACATCATCTCACTATTCAGCTTCTAAAAGCATGATGAAGAGGAGGATGAGGCTGTAGGTCATCAGGCTGAGTGATGTGAACTCTCTGGTTTCATAATCAGAGCAGTCCTGTGGGTTTGTTGTTCAGAATAAACACTAACAATGTTACCAACACACATATACATTTACAATGTATCTGGGATCAAAGGTCGGTCTTCCTGTAGAGACCGTTCAATGTTTTCACTGACGTAAGAAGGACCAGGCACAGGGACTAAAAACAATATCAGGAGTACTAGAAGTGAAACTGGGAATATGTTGAGCCAACATGAAGTACATTAAGCTTTTACTAGAAAGAAAGGAATTTTCATTTCTTACTTAGATTCTTTGCTTTTAAGCAAAGAAACCTTTTAAGCTAAATTAATGTTTTGTTTCCTTAATTTTTGTGGTTAATTTAAAATCATTCTGAGCAAAATTAATGGATGGCCATCGTTTTTCACCCTTGGGGTTGGAGCCCACGTGGGGTCGCCTATAAAAATAGAAATGTGAAGAATAGATGTGAAGTTGTGTGTGTGTGTCGTCACCTAAGTCCGTAGAGAACAGTTCCATCTGGATGAAGACGGATCATTCGGTTTTTCACTGTGACACCGTGGACAAAGGACTTCTTGTCATTGAGGAAGTAGGTGTCGGGGACCCAGAGCTGGTCTGCGACCCTGTTGTCCAATGTCAGGTTCAAAGGGATGCCCACGTAGGCCAGACGTTTGTCCCTCCAGTACTGCTGGAAGTACATAGTCAGGGTGTAGTCCTGCAGGAAAATCAGTAAACAATACAGTCAGGTAACAGGGTAAAAATGTCCTGGAAATCTTTGGACTCCTGCTCCACTGGTGCTTCTGATCAGTCACAGTTTCATCCACACATACAGTAACTGTACAGTGCCATCACTCACTGATGCACAGTGATTTGGCTTAAACACAAAGAGAGAAAACAAACAGTGGGTCGTGGTCAACTGTGGTGGAACCTGTGTCGTGTGAGGGAATGACTAATGAGATTTCTCCTGAGACAACAACAAGCCCGAACCAGACTCTGGTCAGAAAGAACAGCTTAGCAGCCTGGCTCGGTGGTTAAGGACCTTTGGCCTAAGCTCGCGCTATTTCCGTGCTACACAATTGATCTTTTGATTATGTTTTTTTTTTTGTATGTCTCTTTTAGAGTTACCTTGACCAATCTCTTTTTACTAACATGTATGTATTTAAAAGCTATGTCAAATTTTATTGATCTGGGCTCCAGTCCAGGGCTCAGGGTTTGGAAAAAAGGATGAAAAAAAAAATAGAAAATATAAAAAATTCAAATTGTATAAACATATGCAGAAGATGTACAGAAAAGGCTGATACAAATAATCATTAAAGATGTCCTCATTCAAAACAGAAAGATTAATGGAATGCCATAAAAATAATGACAACTATTTGTCACAAGGATGACAGGAAAAAGCCCAGGTTTACCTGTAGTAAAGCTACAGCACATACTGTACTTTTCTAAAAAATGGCAACAACCCCCCCCCCCCCCCCAAAAAAAAAAAACAAGGATCTGTTTTAAGTGTGGCACTTCTGTCTCTGTTTTTCCTTTTCTGAACCAGTTTTTCTTTCTCCCTCAGCTCCTGCTCTCTCTCTATTCACAGAGGCTGAAAATGAAAAGTCAGCTCTGACACTGAACCATCACTGCTGCAGGTTTAACACCTACAAACAGAAATATGGAGATGAAGAAGCAGGGAAGATGCTGCAGCAGCAAACATCCACACACACACTGTTAGCTTATGTTATCACTGAACGTGTCCTTTACTTTTACATGAATAAAAGATACACTTTACACCCAACGCTATTGGTTGAGTTTGTTTGGTTCATGCTCACACAGAGAGAAGTGTTCAGAAGGAAAATGTGAGTCAGCACAGGAACAGGATACAGATTGGTGGCACAGCATGAGGAGGAAATTAACTGGCAATGAGCCATAAACTCAACCTGCACACACCAAACCAAACCAAACCAAATTGATGGGTTTTGGTCTGTGCAGCTCACGATGCCACGGTGCTCAAGGGCATCTCATTGTCTTTTTACCAAAACAAATAAAAAAGATTTGAACGTATAAATGTATAAATGTTCAATTCTCAGTAATATGTTGATTTTTGACAGATTTTAATGCTTTAGTTTCACTTTCCTGCACCAAAGTTCATAGAATGAATAATGGATATACATTACAACTGTCAGTGAAATAGAATATGTTATTTTGTTACTCCAGCTCAGGAAATTCTTCACTTGGATTGACTTCAGGGGCAGGAACCGTCCAAAGGAGGCAGCTGTGGACCAGCAGGGTCTGTGTCCTTGTGAGCTTGAATCATTTCTTTTCTCTGTGGACTTTGGTGACGGAAATGTTACTATTTACAAGGGCTGTCCTATGGTGAGATAAAGCAGTGAACATTGTTTTTAAAACCTATTTAAACTGCTGTTGCTGAAAGCAACATTTTTGCTCTACTGTTACATTTGAAAAAAATAAAAATAAACCATGTGTATATTTGTTGTCTGCAGAGTCTCTCCTTGTCTAAAAGAAAAACGACGCATTTGTACATTTGTTGTAAGTTATCACTGCTCTGCACTCACCATTATGAGGCCATACATCATCTGCTATTAGACAGAGAGGAAATTATCCCCTGCACTGAAGGCCAGTGCTGTCATTTAGAGGAAAAGACCCAGTTCAATCAGCAGCCTCAGAGAGGAACAGCACTATTTGACTTGTGTGTACTCCTCTACAGCAGCAGAGGAGGAGGGTTGTGCTGAGGGATTCCCCCCACACTGCAGTGAAACGTGCCTCAGGGCTGTGCTTCCCCAGGGAAAATCTCTAGGGGAAAAAAATGACACTGAAGGAATTCAAATTGGTCTGGTGTTGAGGAAGAAGGAGGAGGGTGACAGGAAGGGCACAGCGTTTTTATTTTTTTACAGTGTGAATGATTTAAAACCTATTTCATGATGTTAACTGTCATCAAAAAAACCACATAGTTCAGGAAAAATAAAGCAAAAAATGTTACTTCTATATTACTGTAGAAATAATAAAACTGTATCCACGAAGGAGCATCCGAACACGACCTAGAAATAGTGTCAAGAAAACGTGATGGATGACCAAAAACAACAAGACTCTGAATTGACTGAATGCTAGTCAAAAGTTGACACGGGTTTATGCATATATATGCATAGAAAACATGACTTTTGTAAACAACTTCACACTTTTTAAATATTGTCAACCATGTCTGTTTAGCAAAAGCTTTTCAGCAGCCCCCCGTAGCTGTAGCTGCACTGGGGCAAACGAGTCTTTGTGGTATTACATGAATGTTAGCCATTTTGTAACTTAAAATGTAGCTTAATATTGGCTTGAAAATCTGAAAGAAAGCCAAAACAACTGAAAATTAGTCTTGATCTAGCTAAAATAATTAACAATACCTGTAAGAAACATTGTTGTTAAATTAATAAAAACGTGGCTCAAAAAAAAAAGAAATCAATGAAATCAGAATGTCCTCAACACAGGATTTTTTTCCTACCTGAAGTTATAAAGACGAAAAGATAGATGGTAGTTAAAGTTAGCCAAAAGTTATTTAACACTAATTACTTGATGTTATTTTTTTACTTTGAAAATGCACTTAACAGTGAGGAGAAGGACATCATTGTGTCTAATGAGTTGTAGATTGTAAATATTTACTTTGTAAACTGTACACATTACAGTGTACTCATTAGATTATAGATTATTGTTTACTTTGTAAACTGTACACATTACAGTAACTCAGGGAAACTTTGACCCGAAATATTGGTATTCACTGTCTTCCTTGGTTCCTAGAAACCCTCAGAGAGAAGAAGGTCTTGATTTTCTTCCTCAGCTTTATTAGAAATTCATTTGGATCGTCTCCATCAAAAATTGATGAAGATCCTTGGCCGTCTGTTTGTACAAACTACACTCTTCACTTAAATCTTTTATGGCTGACCAGGAGAGTACATGTGAGCATGAACATGCACAATTCTGGAACTGTTACACCGGTAGAAGGTGGTTATGAACACCTGCAGGAGAAGCAGGAGGAGATGTGGTCAGCATGAATACGGATGGAGGGTAAAGTTACAGCAGTAATGGAGCAGAGATGGAGGAGCTGGAGAACAGTCCATAATAATCCCATACAGCTAATTTAATCTGAGCATTCCAACACTCAGCACTTAAATGGAACTCAAACTGATCACAGTTCAGACCCTGGAACCTGAGCCGAACAAGGAGACCTGGACCATCAACCACAACAACTGAGTGGTAGGAAGAAGGGAGGCAAGAGGAGGGAGGGAAAAGAAACTTTAAAAAGACAAGATGGACGATAAATGAGTATTTAAGGTACACGGTGGGAAAAGCCTGAGAAAAACAAAATAAAATGATAAAAAATATATTAGACAAATGTCCGTGATTTTGCTCTCAACAGACAAAGGTGAATCTAAAATAAAGAAATCACAGCTTTCATTTTTGAGTGGTAAACACAGCTACATACAGTATTTACACAGAAAAGAGTTACCGCAAATACAAAAAAATGTAAAACATTTCCACCAAAAATTCCTAAAAACATGTTTTACATTACATTTACATTAACAAAAGGCTCTATTTCAAAGATAAAAGAAATGAAGATGTCAGTCATTTCCATCCCATCAAACAGGAAATAGTTTCAGGTGATTTAAGCGGCAGCAGAACATTTGGTGCTGCAGAAAAAAAATGTCTACACCTTTTTAAACACGAATTTTATTAAATATACTTTGGTGCTGTTAGACACCTACGCTCGGCCGTGGGTGTATGATGGTGTTGACGATGACTGGTTCTTCAGGCTGTTACTGTGACTACACTGGCAGCACTGCAGCTCTGGACACTCTGCCACAGGTTTTTTTTCTACCTGGCTTTTCATCTTGTAAAAAATATGAAATAAAAGCCCCACTAAAGAGGCAGATAAAATGGTAAAAAATGTTAGAATCTAAAGAATATCAACTGAAGGAGACTGTGAAAAGACTCAGCTGATAACATTTTCCACCATTGTACAATGTCTGATTTTGTTTTTCTCTAAATTTAGAAATGTTTTCTGTTTGCGTCACTGAACCTATGTGTACAACTTAAGTCAGGCTTCGGTATCGCCGTATCGCCTTTCACCGTAAGTCAGAACTTAATTAATTAAACATGGCAATAAATGGAGGAAAATCAGAACCTGTTGCCTGGGAAACTATTGCTTTGACACAGAGTTAGTCACACAGGGATGGTGTGCTGTTGATTTCTTTACTGTCCTCTACAGTTTGGTCTGACAAACAATGCCCTCAGAAGAGTTATGCTTATGAGTCATAATGATGTCACCAGTAAATGTTACTCCTCGGACCCAGAGGACAAGATACAGTATAATAAATGATTACGGAGGGGACGAAGGAACGTAACGACGAAGTGCCGTAGGTCGAGGACATCTGCTGCCCTAACCAAAACATTTTCTTTCTTTTGGGGATTCCAAATAAAATGTAATAGACCCCCCCCAACCCCCCAGGCCTCAGACTATATGAAGAATCTACATTTTTATTACCTCTTGATCTGATGTTCTAATTCTTTTTAAATTCTGTCCCATCTGGTGTGACATGCACATTTTCCCATGCAGGGCAAATAAGCAGTGAATGATTACACAGTGAAAATTATAAACCTCTCACTTATTTTGAATTCAAATGTTCATTGGAGAAAGTGAGGGTTTAGTACAGTGGGTCGCAGCAGATGCCTTCCACTTCTGCTACCATCGCTGAGTTCAAATACGGTTCACTGTTCACTGTTTGAAGTCACCCAGTCGGTCTAACAGAGAGATGAAGCGGTGAAGACTCCCTTCAGATGTCACAGACTGAGGTTTCATCATCTGAGACTTTTGTTCTGTGGCTAAAATTAATTTTTTGTGTCTCTAACTTCAGGCCATTGTTTCTTAAAATACCAGCCCATTGTGACCTAAATTAGGAGTGACAACACTGTCTGCTCATGTCTGCTCAGTTGTTTTGAAGTGTGAGATTTTCTAAAGACTCAGTTATCACACTGTGACTAAAGGCCATGGTTAGAATCAGGAACAGCACCCCCTACTGGACTCCTATATAAGTTAAGTTTAACGTTAGCTGTAGAACCTGTGTCTGTCCAACAGCAGTGACCAGAATCATGTGGCGGTCACCAGTGGAAGTGGACACAGAACAGCATTGTATTGAATGATTGTATTGACTACAGAAAAGAATGCTGCATTTCTTCGCAAAAAAAGCATTGTTCTGCTGTGAGGTGGTGGGAGGGGAGTGGGCTGCTGCTGATCAATCCTCCTGACTCAATCATTACTTCACCAGGTGGTTTAACGGCAGAGTTCAGTCTTAGAAGATGTTTGTAACAGCTAAGCAACCTAGCGACCTCAGTAGTATGTGTGAAAACAATTTTCATTACTCACGTACACTACTGCTTTTTCAGAACAAAATAAGGGGAAATATTACAGGGAAGGTACCGATGGTCATTTAGATAAATATAAATATGCACAACATCAAAGACATTTAGCTCCTGAACTGTTATTGACGCTCGGACTCCTTGCCCATCAACAACGTCTTATCTGTGCACTAGCCCACAGTTAATCAGCCCTGTGTTAGCAATGGAGCTATTACGTATGTATGTATAAGCATTTTAGTATTAGCAATTAGCCTCTAATAGCATTTTAGCCGCTAATACATTTATGTATTAGCATTTTAGCCTCTCTTGCCTTGCCTTCACTGGTAGATCTGAATCTTTTGAGTTGCATTACTGCCGACTAATGGCTCTGTTCTACAGTGGTACAGGTTTGCTGCAGAATACAATCTTGGTTGTGTTCAAAGGACTGTCTGTCATAAGTGACAGAACGATTTGGTTTTATTAAACCTGACACCACAGCAGTGTTGTTAAAATGACGGTGTCATCTCTCTACCAGCAGCTATATTTCCACAGAACACGTCATGTAGCTCTGCTCTACGGACACAGTACAGTCAGACCTGACTGTGTTTCAGGCCCACGGACAACAGCACTTTAAGAACCAGATCCTTACCTATGACTTAAACAAGCTGATAAGACAAAGAGTGTTTCATCTGCATTAGGGAGGAATGTTGCTGTTTGTGTGTGTGTGTGTGTGTGTGTGTGTGTGCGTGTGTGTGTGTGTGTGGTAAGACTGTTGCTGCTGGCTGAGATAAAGATGTTTTACTGCTTACAGGAAGCCCGGCCCAGCTCTTTCAGCACCACATAATGGCTTCACAGGGAAAACTGTATTTCCATCAGTACAGTGTGGAGGTATGGCTTCATGTTAAAATGGTTCCTTCCACAAGTGTACCGTCCACAGTCACTGAGAATCATCAGAATATATTCATAAATGTAAAATAATACGTCATGTTTGAGCTTTTTGTAGGAGACTGGTGTTCACCGTGGAAGAATATAAATATATCTTCTTTCATATCAAATCAAATAGTATAGCACAAAAAAATACCATTAGGGCAGGTTACATAATGTGTACATTAATTTAAAAGATCATAAAAATACCAGAATGAAGCAAAAACATTTAAGACACACACACACAAAAAACCCTGCAGGGAGGATCTAATCAGGGGGTGTGGGGTAGGTGGATTTATTTCTTATTTTAAAAAAGAGAATGATTTTGTTGTTTTTCAGTCAATTATAAATAATGAATAATGAATAAAGGAAGAAAAGGAAATGTAGACACAACAACGGCAACGTGAATCCTTTCGTCCAAAAACCCCAAACAACTAAAAATAACAAGGAGGATGAAAGAAAGGAGGGATTAGAGAATAAAAACAAATGAAAAGAAAGGATGAAGGAGAAGAGAAAGAATGGCTGCAGATAAATATGCAAAACTCCCCCTTGAGGCACTTTAGGATACACCCCCACTCTAGGTTACACCCCCACTGTAGGTTACACCACCAGGAGTGTATGTTGGCATTTTCAACTCACTGCATGTGAGAAAAGAAAACATATCCACCAGCTACAACTTTTTGCACATTTGTGTCTGTATGACGACAATGATGATGATGATGATGATGGCACCACCATCAAACACCGTGGTGACGTCACTCACCATGTTGACTTCTGACACCATGTCGATGCTGGCCACGTCTATGCTCATGCCCACGGCAACAGGAGGACCTGAGGGCCATTAGATGAAGGGAGAGAAAAAAAAACTAGCTCAATCGCGCAACAGTGAAATCCACAAGTACAAAAATAAATCACGGGACAAAAGACGAGAAGAGTAAAGACAGTTTCTGACTTACCTCCAAAGTCTGGCCTGAGTCTGATGTCATAGCCTTTCAGCAGTTTGTCCACCGTCTCTTTGACAATCGACATGTTTCCAGGCTCGTTCACGCTGGAAAAACACATGCACAAAAACACATGCACACGCACAAGGGTCAGAGACTGAGAATAACCTTGACCTGTCCCAAAAAATGACTCCGACACGCATAAACGCACGCACGCGCTCCAGCCTCTCTCACCTTTTAGCGCAGCAGACGATTGACGCGACGAGCAGCGCAGAGAGGACGCGCAGCTGCGTCAGCTTGCGCACAGAAAACAGCATTTTTTCCCTGTCTGAAATCGTAAATTTGTTCTTAAATGTTGAAAATTTAAATTCCTCAGTGTGTGTTCTCCTCTTGTTGTCCAGCAGCAGCAGCAGCAGCAGCAGCAGCGGGGATTGCTCATAGGCTCCTGACGCGCTTCACCACACACTGAGTCCATCCATCTCCAAAACATAAACAGCAGTGAATGAGAGTGGAGGTGTGTGTCCGTGCAAGTCAGCGCGTGGCCGTGGATGGAGTCAGGTGTAGAATAAAGGTTGTCATCCTCATCATCATTATCATCCTGACTGCTGCTACTGCCGAGGCTCGACGTGCACGAGCACCAGAATCAGAATCAGAAGAAGGAGCGCATATTGATGAGAAAGAAAGAGAGAGAGAGAGAGAGAGAATGAGAGAGAGAGAGGGAGAGAGAGAAAGCGAAAGAGGAGGCGCGCGTCTGTGCACACGCAAACCCACTGCTGTTTATTGAGAGTGATTGTGACGAGGACCATGAAGGTATGTTTGAATCAGAACCGCCGTGTAACTGACACGTGATAAAGTATTGGATTAGAAGGAAAGCAGAATTTGATGAAACACAAAATGGTTGTTGCAGAAACTATTTGTTTTGTCCTGGCTTGAAGAGAAAAAAAGCTATAACAATGTAGAAGCTGAAATCAGGGGTTCTAAACCTCTGGCTCCCCGGCCACGTTCAGCTCTTGACCGTGAAGTTCGACTGATCCATTAAATGACCAGTATTTAAAATGGATAACAGACGGGGCTGTACATTTTTAACATTTTTGTTATTGAATGTCCTTGTGTTTGATATGATTACTGCCTGCAGGTAGAATTGTGTGGGTCGGGGGAGGGAGGGCAGTGGGGTGGGGGTATTGCTGTTGCTAAACAATAGGTTAATCAATAATAAAATGTCATCATATTTGTTTTAGTGTTTTTGTAACAACAGCACTTTCAGTACTTCATTCATACACTGCACCACTGGCAACGGTCGAAATGTACTCGCTGCTCAGGCTGAATTTTTTTTTTGTAGTGAAATGATAAAAATGTCCCCTGGACAAGTCAGAATGATGGAGCGGCTGAAGAAGAAACAAACAACGAAGAAAAGCAGGTTCTAAAGAAGTATGGAGCAATGAAAAAAGGAAGGAAAAATGTGAGGCAAAAAGAACAGAAGGAAGAAAAAAGCTAGGAAGGAAAGTGGGGAACAAAGCAGAAAGATAAAATGGCAGCATGGAATGAAGGAATAAAGGTAGAAAGGAATGCTGGTCAGCAATCAGCATTGGGAAAAGGCAGGAAAAGGAACAGAGAGGTGGGGTAAGAGCAAGATTGATTCATTGATCACCTACAGCTTTGGGTATTTAGACCTTTATGATATGATTTTCTCAAAGACCAGAGACTAGGACCAGGTACAAGACCAGGACCTGCACTGGGACATGGACCAGGTACAAGACCAGACCTATAACATCCTATAAGGCAGAACCATGGTTTAGGACCACGTCCAGGACTATGGTTCATGTCCAGGACCATGGTTTGATATGTAGGTGAGTAGCGGTCAGTCAGTCACCTGGTTTCATAGATGGCCACCAGCTTCTTGTTTCCATCCACAGCGTTCCTTAAAAAGAAACAAAAACACACACAGGTGAGTAAGTCATGTCAGCCATTCAGAGTGCAGCATTCTGATGACATCATGACTTGTGCAGCCTTCACTGATATTTGAGAGTTTCTGCTAAAATGTTTAAAATGTCCTTCCTTCCTTTTTTCCCTCCCCTACTCTCTTCACTCTTCACCCCTCTTATTTCTCCTCCATCCTCTGAACCTCCCTCCCTCTTTCCCGCTCTTTCATAAATCAGTCTTTTAACAGGAGCTGTCCACATAAGTCATGGTGCTGAACCCATTCTCCCGAGGGGTAAGGTTGTCGGTTTATACACACACACACACACACACACACACAGAGAGAGAGAGAGAGAGAGAGAGAGAGAGATTGTGTGTTTATTTACTGTTTATTTGACTGTATACAGACTGAACCTCCACAGCTCTCACCTCCTCCACCATAACCTCCTCAACCTTTTTATCTTAACTCCCGTCACCTCCTCCACTCAGTCATATGCATATCTAATCAATCATCTGTAATCAATGTTTTTTCATCTACAACCCAATGGCACAGAAAAAAACACAAAGAAGAATCAAGAGTGTAAAGAGACAGAAATAATGAGAAAAGGCAGGTGAAGGGAGTGAGGGAGCAGAAGGATGGAAGGTAGATAAGGAGATGTGGTTAAAAGGGAAAATGAAAGGAGGATAAAAACAATTGAATATGAAAGAAAGGAATGAAGGAAGAATATCAGAAAAAGGGATGAAAAGAAAGTTAATAAGACAGAGAAAAAGAAAAAGGAAAGGGAAAAGGAAATAAAGAATGAGTGAATGAAAGAATGAAAGAAAAAGAGAACAGAATCAAATCAAGATTGACGGTTGATAAAAAAAGAATGAGAGACGACAGATAAAGATACGGAGCTCCCTCTTGTGGCTACCCCAAAAAACACACAAAAAAAGTGCATGTGGGGGGTTTTTAGGTCACTGTGTGAAAACATGAACGGGTTTGGCTCTCACTGCTCCATGACTAAAGATCACCCGTTGTTATATCACGACAACACGTCGTGTTCACCTGAAGGTCAGGTTTGGTCCAGCTCCTGGAAAAGACACCTTTTCTTTTTCCTCAAACCTCCCTTCTCCCTCCCAGTCCTCCATCCTACTCCAAACCCACTAATAAGGAGGAGCTGTTATTTTTAATCAGTTCTTCTGGTGCTGCAGTACAGGATTATACTGAGTGTGAACAGCAGGGGGCGCTGTGGCTGCAAGTGTAGAGTGAAAAAAAAATCAGTGCTGCTGCATCATTTCTGAAAAGAGCAGACAGAAGGAGAAAAGGCTTCTGCAGCAGTACGAGCCGGAGGAGGTGAAAGAAGGAGGGGACCAGAGACGGGACTCTAGACCCCAGACCTGAGGCTGATCTAGAACCACATCAGTGACTGACAGGGAGAGAGGGAGGGTGATAGAGAGAGGTTAACAGAAAGTGCGGCACCGCAGACACAAGAACCCGCAGCAGCCGCTGACTGTGCGTGAAGACAAACAAAGATGGATCTGCAGCATTCAGGTACTGCACCACCAGCACCACCTTCTCCGTGTTCTTCTCTGTGTTCTTTACCTTCATCAGACCGGGGATGGAACCGGACCGAATCTGGTTTTAGTTTGATTCAAATGAGAGAGCATTTAAAAATCCGTGTCACTGCAGGTGTTCATTCTCGGTCCTGTCGCAGAACGGGACGATTTTTAAATATATATATATAAATATATATAAACTACGACAGAGCCAATTATCAATTATCACGATTATTTGAAAACACCCAGTTAAACTTAAGTAATGTTTTTTCGTCACCAAACAAACATGACTCATGAAAATCATTCCCATTTAACAAAACAATAAACACTAAATATAGTTTGCCATCATACAGTATTAGTGATTTATTTGGAGGCCCGCAGGGGGAGCTCTCAGTCCTAGCAATCACGTGTGATTTGCAGACTTCGATTCCTATTTCATTACTTGCAAAGAAACTGTACATTACAAACATGTCATAACGCAATCTCATTTCTCATGTTGAAGTTACTAAGTTTCACCAACGATAACCACGTATTTCTTTATGTATTATAATGTATGTTCTTGTCATCATTAATCATCCTTTCAAAGAAATTATAAAAATGTTTTTACATATTAGTTTGCTTTAAATTAGTTACATACGTTTTTCATGTAAAATGTACAAATATTCATACAAATAAACTGTTATTAAATATTTTCTAGAAATTTTTTTTTGTAAGTGCAAAATGGATGTTTGAGGTAGCATTGGTGTTTTTGTTTTGCTAATAACAAATCACCATATCTATTCTATTAATATATAATAAATATAAAATATAATACATAATATATTGTTTCATTAAAACTGATTTGGTTAATTAATATAATGTTGTTTTGTAAGTTTGGACTCAACATACCTTTAATTTAAAGACACACTTCAGTGAGTAGAAACAATAGATTACACTTTGTAACGTTAGAAACATTATATAACTTTAGAAACGCAGCATTGGCAGGTAACATTTTCTAGGGAATCTAGAATCAGGAACCATAATTATTACATTAGGTCAGATTAAATTTGTCCTTTTACATTTTTTTAATAACCAAAGGAATTAAACGTGTTTTTTTTTTTTTTGGAAGATTTGCGATTTTCTTGATTTTTCTTTTCTCCCACTCTGAAACCCTGATGGTTTCTGAATCATGGTGTGTCTGTGTTTCAGACGGACAGATCACAGTCAGACCCTCAGTGATGATGAAGCTTCTCCTCTGTCTGCTGCTGCTGTTTGGACACCAGCCCAGGTAAAAAAAAAAACCCAAAAAAAAACCAAACGTGTGATGCAGCTTTAATCCAGTACAGGCTGCTGCTGCTGCTACAGCTGCTGCTGCTGCTGGTGGCGCCGCTGCTGGTGCTGCTCCTGTAGCCAGGTCTCCGGCTACTTGT